AAAACAACCCATTCAGCTTAACCCCTTCACGCCTAAGGGTAAAACAAATCTAAATGCCTAAGCACAATTTTGCAACGTTGACATGTGTTAGTAAAACCGTACATATCACAACTACTTTGTACATCCAGGTGAATTATACCGCATTTTTTTCAGGACAAATTGGGCTTTCATTTGGTGGTAAATGGTAATGGAGATCTACGGATTTTTTTTTTATCAAAGGAAAATTGGCCCAAAATAGTAAAAAAAAATAAAAATAATAATAAAAAAATATATATATATATATATATATATATATATATATATATATATATATAATATTTTTTCAAACTCAGCTGTGTGTTTCTTCTTACTACCATAACCGATCACCAAAGATCAACCCAAAATAAATTCTCCAGCTCTTGACGATCCCAGCGATACCATATACAGCTGTGTTCAAAATATTAGCAGTCAGACATCACTAACCGGATCAATCACTGTTTTTGGTAGAAATGATATTTCTACATGGCAAATAATTTACTAGCAGGTGTAGTAGAGTAATAGAAATCCAACAGACCCAACAGTCATGACATGTATGCTGCTGATTCTGTGTAATTGAATCACTAATTGAAAGGGGCGTGTTCAAAATAATAGCAGTGTGGAGTTCTATTAGTGAGGTCATTCATTCTTTGAAAAACAGGTGGCAATTATTGCCCTTATTTAAGGAAGGAAGGCAGCAAATGTTGTACATGCTGGTTACAGTGCATTTCTCTCTGAAATTCTGAGGAAAATGGGCCGTTCCAGACAATGTTCAGAAGAACAGCGTACCTTGATTAAAAAGTTGATTGGAGAGGGGAAAACATATAAAGAAGTGCAGAAAATGATAGGCTGCTCAGCTAAAATGATCGCAAATGCTTTAAAATGGCAACCAAAACCTGAAAGACGTTGAAGAAAGCGAAAAACTACCATTCGAATGGATAGAAGAATAGCCAAAATGGCGCGGACTCAGCCAACAATCAGCTCCAGGAAGATCAAAGAAGGTGTAAAGTTCCCTGTGAGTACTGTTACAATTAGAAGACGCCTATGTGAAGCCAAGCTATCTGCAAGAAGCCCCCGCAAAGTCCCACTGTTAAAAAAAACACATGTGCTGAACAGGTTACAATTTGCCAAAGAGCACATTGACTGGCCTAAAGAGAAATGGCGCAACATTTTGTGGACTGATGAAAGTAAGATTGTTCTTTTTGGGTCTAGTGGCCGGAGACAGTTTGTCAGACAACCCCCAAACACTGAATTCAAGTCACAGTACACTGTGAAGACAGTGAAGCATGGTGGTGCAAGCATCATGATATGGGGATGTTTCATATACTACGGTGTTGGGCCTATTTATCACATACCAGGGATCATGGATCAGTTTGAATACATCAGAATACTTGAAGAGGTCATGCTGCCTTATGCTGAAGAGGAAATGCCCTTGAAATGGGTGCTTCAACAAGACAATGACCCCAAAACACACCAGTAAACGTGCAACATCTTGGTTCCAGACCAACAAGATTGACGTTATGGAGTGGCCAGCCCAATCCCCGGATCTTAATTCAAAAGAAAACTTGTGGGGTGACATCAAAAATGCAGTTTCTGAAGCAAAACCAAGAAATAGAGAAGAACTGTGGAATGTAGTCCAATCATCCTGGGCTGGAATACCTGTTCACAGGTGCCAGAAGTTGGGTGACTCCATGCAACACAGATGTACAGCAGTTCTCAGAAACAGTGCGACTACAACTAAATATTCATTAAGTGATTCAAAGGAAAGCAAAATCTTCAAACATTTTTCAGTTTATATAGTGAATGTTTGAGTTTGTAAAGAAGAATACAAACACTGCTATTTTTTTGAACAGTCTAATATTCACTTTTCTTAAATTTTTTTTATAGAAACACAAATTTGATATTTTTCTTCATGTTTTGATTTGGAATAGAATGTGTAGTGTTCCCAATGCATTTGTGTGTATGGAAATAAAAGCTATTAGAAGGATTTTGAGCTTTATTCACTTTTTTCAACACACTGCTAATATTTTGAACACAACTGTATGTGTATGTTGTTTGTACTCATAGTACAGCCCAGAAACAGTGCGCATTTTGTTTTTGTCTTTTTTTTACCTAAAAACAAACTGACACTAATACCAAATTTTTTTTTTTTAACTCCTGACCTTTGACCCTGACCTTGACCCTGACCTTGACCCAAACAATAACCCTGGCACTGAACTAGATCAAACCTTGATCTACGTATTTTTTAATATTTATTTATAATTTTTTTCGCTCTATGCCAGGAGTTAGAGAGATATAATGCATCTCTTCTCCATTCATAGAGAGAAAAAAAAAACGGGGCCGGGCTGCACAGTGACTGATCACTGTGAAAGCCAAATCAGTGGCTATCATAGCGATCATGTGACCCAGAATCGGGAGTCCCAGGTCCCGATCGTTAGAACGGGACCAGGGGCTCTCAGTGACACCGCGGCCTTTTGCTGGGAGCGCGCAGTGCGGCGTGCTCCCAGCACAAAGACAGGTACACAAATATGCGGCCCCACGGAAAAAAGCCCAGTTCTGTGAAGCCGCATATTTGTGTGACGTCGGCGTCAAGGGGTTAACATAGAAATGAAAGGCAAAACATTTGTGTATAGATATATAAATATTATAAAACACCTTTTTTTTTTTTTATAAAACAAGTGAACACATTCCCTATGTTTTCAGCTGCACAAGAGCTGGGGGAGAACAGCAGTACACGGATCTTTTCTGTGAAAGGCTATGCGGTATGGGGGGGTGTCAGCAGAACTCTGATCATTGGAGGAGAGCCAACTGAGTTCTCAGCACAGATACAGAACTGACCACACTGTGTTCTCATGCTTAATGCAGTCATTTGCTAATAGGAAAGCAGAGGGACTGGCAGAAACACCAGGGATTTCACACAAAGGAAGCAATACAAAGAACAGGATACTTTTTCAAACAAGTACATGGTACAGCAGGCACATACCAGGAATATGAAATGTTGGAATAACATAATCGTTAATTGAAAAAGTTCCTTTCGTGACATACAGTAAGTGCTGTCTGACCCCTGGTCCCATCTCTCCACAAATTCTTGGATACCCTACAACTTTGCATCTCATCTCCTATGAAGTTTAATTTCTAAAAAGGACTATAGATCCCATGCTAGCTTGCCATTTACTCCTGATGCTGTCAATCAAACCTGTAAGAAGGGAGTGTGTGTGGGGGGACTGATCCAAGCTGTGTCTATGGAAGCACAAAGGGCTCGTCAGCGTGCCCACATATGTGCTCTCATAGCACATAGCTTCATACAGGGGCACATACAGAAGGACAACCCAAGAGCACCAATTTCACTAGCAGACAGTTCTAGCAGTCTCCAAAGGGCTGGGCGAATTATCAGAAAGATAAAAGGTAACTTGTTAGGTGTGTCTGGATGTAGTGAGAGCAAAAGCACGTAAAAAGCACAATTCTTTAAAGTCAAGCCATTCAACATGAGAAAAGCAAAATAAAATGATATAGCAAAGACAAGAAAACATTCAAGTCAGTCCCTACCCTAAAGTAGCTTACAAATTGATCTTATCTACTAGTATCATACACGCTTGGGTGAAAAACGATTATAACCTACAAGTATGAAACTGGCGGGAACGCAAACAAACATTGTAAGGACAGACAGAATACATGCAGGCAGTATACCTGGTGGGAATGGAATTCAGAACAGTAAGGCCACAGTAAACCACCAAGACACTGTGCTGACCTTTAGAAGATAAAGAACATGCTATCACATTAAATGACAAAATTAAAGTCACACCGTAACAAACACAGATAGGTTAGGATGCTGTCAGTGGCAAAGAACTGAAACCTGCAGTGTAAGTAGCTAAACATGACAGAGAAATGTTATATGAATGAAAAAAAAAAAAAAAAAAAAAAAAGTACAAAGATCACATGCATGACCTTGTCAACATTAAAAGTGGACTTTGGCCAGAAACATATTGACGAAGGGATTATTTTTCTCTCATAAACAAACAATTAGTAATAGAGTAAAAGGTAAACCAAACTGATCTATCCTGAGGTCTTCGCGGCAGTGCCACGTGACAATAATCGCACACAGTCCTTTCTGGGAGAAGGGCCACAGAGAAGAAATGCAAAACAATGCTATCACTGTTAAGAAGCAACTCTTACAAAACAAGGACCCTTCCCAAAACAGACTGAGGCCCTGATCTTCAATAGGCTTTCATCCTTGAAGGACTTCTTGCAGGCTTTCTTGGAGACAAAAGCAATGAAAAAACTGCAGAATTCCAAACTAAAGACAATCAAAACACAATGGAATCTGTCAATAAAGACCAAGCAAATAACGCAACAGTTTAGCACTGCTGCTAACAAAGGCCCTTTAACAGAAAAAACTGGGAAAATGTTTACCAGTGCCAGGCTCACAATATTTATGCTGGGCTGAGTTTTAACCCATCTGCTGCTAGGGACTTTCTTCATGCTGCTGAAAGTATGAGAGAAGCTAATGAAAGTACATTATATGGGTAAAAAAAAAAAAAAAAAAAAAAAAAAAACTTTAGAAATTAGGAAGGCATCTTTACATAATACTACAAGTCACAAATAGCCGTACACGCTGTCAAGTCTAAACTGACATCATGTATAATAAAAACACCAATGCATGCTTATATTCACTTCAGCCCCAGAAGGTTTTCCCTCCTTCCAGACCAGGCCATTGTTTGCGATTCGGCACTGCGCTATTTCAACTAATTGTGTGGCCATGCAACGCTTTACCCAAACAAAATGTATGCCCTTTCTTCACATAAACAAAGCTTTCATTTGGTGGTATTTGATCACTGCTGCTCAGTGTGTCCTGATGATCTGTGTAGCCCCAGCAGTGCCAGCTGTCTGTGCTCATCCATGCCACCTGCCAGTGCCCATCAGTGCCCACCAGTGCACATCAATGCCACATATCAGTGCCTACCAGTGCACATCAATGCCACATATCAATGCCTACCAGTGCACATCAATGCCACATATCAGTGCCGCCTAACAGTGCCATATATGAGTGCTGCCTTTCAGTGCCCATCAGTGATGCCTGTCAATGCCCATCAGTGCCACCTACCAGTGCCTCCTCATCAGTGCCCATCAGTGCAGCCTATCAGTGCCCATCACAGCAGCCTCATTAGCACACATCAATGAAGGAGAAAAATCACTTATTTACAACATTTTATAACAAAAAATAAGAAAAACATTTTTTTTTTTCAAAATTTTCAGTGGTTTTTGGTTTAAGAAAAAATAAAAAACCCAGAGGTGATTAAATATCACCAAAATAAAGCGGTCACAAAAAAATGATAAAAATTTCATATCGGTACAGTGTTGCATGACCGCGCAATTGTCATTCAAAATGTGAGTGCTTAAAGCTGGAGGTATAAGTGCCCTGTAGGCTAGTGGTTAAAATTGCGCACGCTCGTGGAATTCTGCTTAACTACTACCAGTTTCAAGTTACAGAGGAGGGCTAGTGCTAGAATTATTGCTTTCGTTCTGACGTTTGTTTGCAGCAATACCTCACATTGATTTGAACGTTTACATAAGTGGGCGTGGCCTACATATGATTTCACCACTACGTACAAGCCTGGGGCACTTTTTAAAAACAATTTCCACTGTTCCTTTAAGATTTTTTTTTTTATCACTTTTATTCCTATCAAAAGGAATGCAAACATCCCTTGTGATAGAAATAACGGGGGGGCGCAATAGGACCCCACATTTCTCCTCTACAATGTAAAGCATTAATTAAAGCATTAAAAAAGCATTGATCAAGTGCTTTAAACCCCACCCCCACAAAAAAAAAAACCCCAAACCCCCAAAAAACCCCAACCCCCCCCCCCCCCCCCCAAAAAAAAGAAGGGGCCTTGCTTACATGGCGCTGGAACCGAAAGTGACGTGATGACGTTGTTACGGTCCTCCAAGGGCACAGAGATGAGTGGAGGCCATCTTTCCTTCATTGATCTCTATGCCCAGCCTCTGGTATTGTTGGAATGGGTTCTCAGGTAAGCCTGACGACCACCGGGTGGAGGGGGGGGACCAGTGCCATTTTCGGCAAATAGTGGTATTTTCCGCCGAAATTTCGGTGCATCCCTAATATTGGAATTAACGCATTTGCTTTCTGACTGCCCATCATATTCCTTGAGGTGCTAAAATGCCAGGGCAGTACAAAAAAAACCCCAAGTGACCTTTTTTTGGAAAGCAGACACCCCAAGGAATTTGCTGAGACATTGAGTCCATGAAAGATTTTAGTTTTTGCCACAAATATTTTGGAATGAGACAAAATTTTTTTTTTTTTTTTTTTTAACACAGTTTTCACTTAAATCATATATTGCTTACACATAACATGGGTATATGAAGAAGTAGCAGAATGTGTTCTGGGGTGTTTTTCCATAGAGTATGGGGATACCACATGTGCAACTTTTTGACAGCCTAGCCACATACATGCCCCTAAAATCCAATGACCACCTTCAGGCTTTCGAAGTGCATATTCACTCATTTCACTTCCTCACTACCTATCACAATTTCAGAGGTCCTAAAATGCCAGGATAGTACAAACAGCCCCACAAATGATCCCTTTTTGTAAAGTAGGCACCCCATGGAATTTGATAAGAGGCATGTTAAGTATTTTTCAGATTTTTTTTTTTTTTCAAAACCCTGGCACAAAAAAATAAGAAAACATTAATTTTCATTTTCTTTCTTCATTTTCCAAAAACTTGTGGCAAATGAAATCTGCAAAATACTCACCATGCCCCTTATCAAATACCTTGGAGTGTCTACTTTCCAAAGAGGGGTTATCTGGCATTTCAAGGTCAACATTAGATGCTTACACCACACATCACCCACTCTTCCAACCACTGAAGACCAAGCCTTGTCTGACACTTTTTGTCTACATGGAAAAAAAAAATGTTTTTTTGCTGCAAGCATCATCCTGGTATAACCACTTAAATCCAGTGACATATGTTGCTGGTCCTTGTTGGGTATATACATAACAGCAGAAAACATGCGCATATGATGAATCGGGTCTGTGGCCCAATATGACCGCAATTCATTCTTTTTTGTAATGCCCAGGTTGAAGGTTAGGCCCAAAAAAGTTTTAACTTCAAAAACGGTGTTAGGTTTCCATGTGAATTGTTTTGCAAAATCTGAGTTTGGGTGGGCGGCGATGTATTTTTGTGTGTATAACTTGCTTTGGCCCACAATCAATTGATACAAATCTTCCATGAATACCAGCGGAGGGGCTAAACACTAGTGCTGGTAGTGAACGGGGCTTATTATGCTAACACTGCGTTTTAGGGGACACTATACTAAGGGGGCACTAATATAGTACTGTTCATGATCAATATACTAATCTGTACAAACGCTATACTAGTAATGAATAGAAGATGTCAGTGAGCGCTCAAAAAAAAAATATATATATATATATAAGCTGCTAGCACAAGACGACCACTCTTTGTATCCTCAGTAGTGATAAATGTAAAAAAGGTGCAGCGCTTAAAGTATGAGCCAGTATGCCAAATACCAAATGCAAAAAATGAATTTATATCTGGGCGACATGAAAAGTAAAATAAGCAGCAGTACCAGATATAGTCACAGCATGGCACTGTGGAGATATATATATATATATATATATATATATATATATATATATAGATAGATAGATCTATATATCGATATATATATATATATATATATATATATATATATAAATATATAAAACTGAGGCGCTAAATACAATATAGTGAAAGCAGTGTGACACTGAAAACCAGTGCAATAGTGGTCATAAATTTGTGACTGTAGTGAAATGAATACAAGAATGACAATATATAATAAAGTCCAATAATAAATTAATCCGAAAGAAAAATGGTGACTTCCGATAAGTGAATCCGTGAGAATGATTCCTTAATATGCACTCACCAGAAGCGCATATACAGCAAAACATCTAGGCACACTCCTCCACAGGCAGATCAGGCTATGTTTCCATCCAACAGAACCCAGGAAGCCAAGATGTACCAGATTGAAGGGGTATCCTCAGCACAGCAATCAATCCTCTAGATGGAACAGGCAGGGATCACAAAAAGAGCCCAGAGAGAGATCGGCTGATAGTGTAGTACTTTATTATGAGATTTAAAACATCTATGTGGGAGTAAGCAAACAGAAACCGTAGAAAAACTACGCACGAAGATGGCGGCCGGACCATTATACGGACATGGCGGTGTGACGTCAGTACGCAGGCTCCTCTCTTTCAAGCGATCTCTCTCTGGGCTCTTTTGTGAGTTGGTTCTTCAGGATTCCTGTCTGTTCCATCTTGAGGATTGATTGCTATGCTGAGGATACCCTGGGAAGGGGGGGGGGGGTTGTGAGGGAGAAGCCCTCCTTGCCACCTCCCTCCCCACAGTCTTCTGGGACACGTAACAGGTCCCAGAAGACTGCAGGACCATTTACAATGCGCAGTGCAGCTCACGCATGCGCAGTGGATACCCGGACACAAGCTGTGATAGCTGGGAGCCCACAGTTGAGATGCGGCGCAGAGAACAGAAGGAGGGAAGGGACGGCTCGGGTGAGCACATCACTGGATCCTGGGACAGGCGAGTATCTGTTTAATAAAAGTCAGCAGCTACAGTTTTTGTAGCTTCTGACTTGTAACAAACAAAAAAAATGGCTGGAGCTCCTCTTTAACCACTTGCTCTCCTGAGGATTTACCCCCCTTAATGACCAGGCCTCTTTTTGCTACTCGGCGCTGCACTAATTCAACTGATAATTGCGCGGTCATGCAATGCTGCACCCAAAACAAAACTTATGTCCTGTTTTTCACGCTATAAACAAAAAAAGGCCAAAAATTTTGAAGAAAAACAATATTTTTTACTTTCAGCTATAAAAAATATATCGTAAACTCAAAGTTGGTTATAAAATTTAGGCCAAAATGTATTCTGCTCCATGTTTTTGTAAAAAAAAAATCCCAATGAGTGTATATTGATTGCTTTGTGTTAAAGTTATAGCATCTACAAACTATGGTATAAATACTGCAATTTACGCCATTTTTCTGCTATACAGCGCTGCACTAGTTTAACGGACAATTGCGCGGTCATGCAATACGGTACATAAATGATATTTACATCCTTTTTTTCCCCACAAATTGAGCTTTCTTTTGGTGGTATTTGATCGCCTGTGCAGTTTTTATTTTTTGCGCTATAAAAAAAAAAGGCTGACAATTTTTGAGGAAAAAAACACAAATATTTTGGACTTTTTGCTATAAAACATGTCCAGTAAGAAAAAATGCAAAAATCAAATTTAGTCATAAATTTCTGCCAAAATGCATTCTGCGATGTCTTTGCTAAAAAAAAAAAAAAAAAATATGTGTAAATTAATTGGTTTACGTGAAAGTTATAGCGTTTACAAATGGCGGGAAAGATACTGGGATTTTTAGGGTTTTTTTTTTATACTAATAATGGCGGCGATCAGTGACTTATGGCAGAGACCAGCAGCGACTTATGGCAGGACTGCGGCGGACATTCTGACATTGGGGGGTACTGACTTGGGGTCACTGACATCCCCAAAAACACTAATACAGTGATCAGTGCAAAAAGAAAAACACTGACACTGTACTAATGGCACTGGGGAGGAAGGGGTTAACTTTATTTTGCAGGGAAGGGTTATAGGAGTGAGGGGAGTGCTTTACTATGGGGCGGGGGTGTGTGCTGGACAGGACAAGGCTGATTGAGAGAGAGAAACTCTTCTGTCTCGATCAGCTCGTCCTCGAGCTGAGAAGGAAGTGACAGACAGCACAGCTACTGCAGCTGTGCTCTCTGTCACTGTTTACCGCCGATCGCTGGGAAACAGAAGCTAAGGACCGGCTGTGACCCGGCTACTGACATCCGCGGCGGTGATCGGCGGGACAGATAGGGCGGCAGCGTGCCTCGCGCGCACCCTCTATTTGTTTACAAAACACACACGTTTTAAAACGTGGTTTTGCCTGCTAGTGCCGCCCTGCCGCCGTATTTCTACAGTGGCTGGGCGGCATGTAGTTAAGCAAATCACATATGCTGTAATGTTATTGTTTCAGTTGAATAAATCTATTTAAATTATTATTAAGGTAATGATTATTTTTCTCCTTCCTAAGTACAACAGAAAAGTTGTCCAAATATAAATGATTAACCTATTAAACTGGGGATAAAAAAACTAATATGAAAAGTTGTTATTCTAAAAATCTTCATCTACTTGCATATTAAAGTTATACCAGCAAGAAATAGTCTTTATGTAGAAAACTAGGATTTAA